CGAAAGCACTTTTCGTCAGATATGTGCCCTAAACCCTCAACCCTAAACCCTAAACCCCTAAATTGTAGTTTCCATTTTCTTTTCCATTATCCCTATGTTACCCTATATTACCCACAGCACCCCTAGGAGCCCATGGTTCCAACATTGGACAAAGCCTGCCTTCGGAAAGCGTGCGCACGCGTTCGGGCGCCATGATCTCAAGTGTACCAACCATCGTCCTCCATTTCTGAAAATTTGGGGATATAGGGTTATGTGGGGTTATACAGGGTTATATAGGGGGATATATAGGGATAGTGGGCTTACGGCTTGGGATTTGGGGTTCAAGGTTCAGGGTTTAAGCTTCAGAAGTGGTTAGTGTGGGTCATGGATTGTAGGTTCTATTCCTAGTCGAAGGCCGGGCTGGTCCGCTCCCTACACCCGCAAGCCAAATCCTAAATCCTAAATGGGTGATTGTCAAAATTATGGTCCCTTTTTGGGTACCCTAAATATTAGGTGCCGTATTGTAATAGGGATCCAAAAAAGGGACCATAATTTTGAAAACCACCCATATAACCCCTATACATACCCTATTGTCGCTTCCATTTTCTTTTCCATTTCCCTATATAACCCCAATACATTATATAGTAGTTTCCATTTTATTTTCCATTATCCCAACATAACCTAAATCCTAAACCCGGCGGAGGGGCGTTGTTGGCATCGCACTGTTCATAGAGCTACATACATAGGTGTATCGTATAGGGGTTATAGTGGGATGGAAAAGAAAATTTGTAAATTCGAAACGGCCGAGCTTAGGGTCTAGGGAGTAGGGTTTCTCAGATTGCTGCAAGGGCCCCGCTCCTTTAAAGAAAAATCCTTCCAAGTTCGCCGCACCCGGGGTTAAGCGCTTAGAGGTTGAGGGTTCCAAGGCTTATGCTGGGTTTCTGGGTTGCTGTTAAGGAACTTCAGCTAAGTTACCAATATGGGGAATACAGTAAAGAAGATGGCTCCTTCTAAATGAATTACAATAATGGCGACTTGATTTGAGTTCCTTGTCAGTCAGCAAGCCAGCGTAGTGGTCCGGAAGTTTAGGGCTTCGGGCGTTGAAGTCTGGACTTACTGGGCTTAGTAGGGAACAGGGGAATATTTTCTATGGGGATTATCGGACCCTAAACCCTTTTCCCTAAACCCAGTAAGTTGGGGTTCCGAGGCAGGCCGCGATCAAGAAAAGAGAGCTAGTTGCAGACTGACGTGCTTCCAGATAATCGGTTTAAGGTTTAGGGCTTAGGGTCTAGGGTTTAGGGTTTAAGGTTTGGGGTATATCTCCTACGCAATTTAAATCACATGGGTTCCTTATGAGGGCTTAGGGTTTAGGGGATATTTCCTTTCCTGCACAATTTGATGGACATGGGGGTCCTTATTTGAGACTGTACCAAACTACAAGACCCCGCAATCCACGATTAAGGGTCCCTCAATAAGGCCAACAGTAACTCACATAAACTCGCACAACGTCCCCCTAGAGGGTTTATTCGGGCATCCAGGGTTTCAAGCCTAGGGCGCGCACTAGTGGCCTAAAAACAACAACCCTAAACCCTAGACGCTAGTGATGGAGAATGAATCAAATGGAAAAGCAAACGGAAAATCAATAGCAAAGTGGCATGGCAACTCTCGGGTTGCATGGGGTTCTGGTAGGGTTCTGTGGAGGCTGTTTGCGCCGAGGGAGGAATCATAGTAGGATGTAGGTGTGGAGTATACTGCAACTATTTTGTGACTATACATGGATAAGGATTTGGGTCTAGAGCATCGTCTAACCACAGCAGGACTATACCGGGATATTCTTGCTGGTTTATTCAGGTTACAGTATGTCTGGGGTGTCGCAGTGTCGCAATCAGGTTTTCTTCTCATGAAGTCCCTGTTGACACGATACCGACGCCATATGTCATGCCTGTGTTGAGCAAAGGTGGATTCTCTGCAGGGTGGGCGCGCGCCTTACTTTCTGTGCATCTGATTCCGGCAGTGGTCCCAAGCCCGCCAGCAGTGGTATGATACAAATATTTGAGGACCCTCATATGGGTGGTTGTCAAAATTATGGTCCCGTTTTGGGTACTGTAGATATTAGGGTACCCATATTATTATAATAGGGATCCAAAAGGGGACTATAATTTTGACAACCACCCATATAATACCAGCAAAGACCTCAAATCGCCAGCAGGCTAGATCCTGGACAGCACCCTGAACAGAACCCCAAGCCTTCCGACCCCATTTCTATAATATATGGGAGTTTCCCAAAATTAGGAGAACCCTTTTTGGGGTCCCGACTGTTGATGGAGGAATCTTGCACCACCTTAAGTCCCTAAAGTCCTAGGAATTCAGTAGTTTAGGGCCCCTAGGTGGTGCAAGATGTCATCCACCAACAGTATAGTAAGTAATAGTTTGGGGTCTATATTGGGGTCCCCCTATTTGGGGGCCCTACCATATAATTATAAATGTATGTACACAAGAACCCCAACAATTCTACTGTCTCTGGAATAATCATCGTTATCCCTGGCGGTTACTATTTGTAGGTGAGGGTGCTGATTACTGATTCCGCTCCCCACATGGCAATTTCTCAAGGCAGGATGCTCCGAGGGCTAGGGACATGTAAGGAAGGGTTTAGGGTTTAAGGGCTTAGGGTTGTTCTCACCTTTTGGTTATAGGTTATACTACGGCACCCAATATTTAGGGGTACCAAAATGGGACCCTAATGTTGGGAACTACCCATATGAGAGGAGCCCCAGCACGGCGGTCTTTTTTTGGGGATGACACAGGACTTGTTGTCATGAAGACTCATATCCAAGCTGTGCACCTAGGGCAGCCACAGCTACGCGGAAGCAACAACACTCTCACTTCATTGCGGCGTACATCTCCGTGCAAGTTTCGTAGCCATGAGGCGAGTTCAAAGTTCGGATTGCGAGTTGCCCCTAAACCCTAAACCAACAGCATTCTGGCACATTGCATGACCTGCAGTCAAAGTGCAATGCAAGCCCTGCTCCATCTTGGGCCTCTTTTGGCAAGCATACCTCGGACTCTCGCTCCTTTCCGCGCACACTCACCTAGACCCTCCACCGACCCCGGTCTGTAAACATGAATTCCGGAACCCGGAGCCCTGCACGCTGAACGCTGGATACCTGAAGCCGTAAGTCCCTGTAACCCTACACCCTAGATCCTATGTGGTGGTTTCCCAAAAGAAGGTACATTAGGGACTCTTGGGATACATGGAATTGTAGAAGGAGTAATTATGGCGGACCTTGTTCGGGTGTGTAGAGGGATATTTTGAGACACAATCATATCCCTAAACCCTGTTTGGAGGTTCATGGGACTTCGTAATTACTGATCACCGGGGATATAACCCTACTTATATTTGGGATAGCCTTAACAAGTTCAGATAGGGGGATGACAAATGGGGTTCAAAGCCTAGTAGTTATGTACTAAGTCACATGAACCTCCAAGCAAACATTAACCCCTAAACCCTAAACTCTGAGCCCTAAACTCCATAAATCCCTATAATCCCTTTAAAAGGGACCCTCTTCCAACTGGGTTATTACGGTGCATACAGGGAATACTTCGACCATGTTTCCGAAACCCTCAATCCCTAAACCCTAACCCCAGATCCTTAGATCCCTACATCTTGACCCTAAACCCAAAATCCCTAAGCCTTAAATCCCAAACCCAACATCCTTAACCCTTGAATCCTACACCCCAATCCCTAATCCTGATGCGCCTTGCCAAAGTCGTCCCACTCAGCCGCTTCGAGATGCCGAAGTCCGCGATCTTCACGGACTTGGCGGGGTCCGGGCCTCGCGGGATGTGGTTTGGAGTTCAAGGTTTTGGTCGTCGGTTTAGGGAATCTGCATGGGCCCCGAATCCTGGGGTCCGCACATACCGAGAAAGCCCCACAAACCCAGTTAATGGCCATAGTTAGCACCCAAGAAACAGGCACGGGTCATACTACAGTAGGGCTCCATGGTCAAGATCCTACTCTAGAGATCCAAATGGGCCCAGTGTAAGTATTATTTGTATACTGGGATCCCTAGGGCTAGGCCAGATTGGGGCTTCGGGCGTAGGTCCAATAGCGTCAAATGGGCTTCAATGCCGGAAAAAGGTGGAATTGAGCCCAAGCTTGAGGATCTGGGTAAGGGAAAGGCTTCAGGTTTAGGGTTTAGGGTTCAGGACAAGGCTATGCAAGTTTATCACCTTCTACTAGTGACCACGAGGGATGATGGTAAGTGAAAACCGGGCTTCCTATATATTGCTACTTTACCACTCTCAGTGGGTGGGGGCCTACCGAAGGTTGAAAAGTTGTGGGCCCAAATCTGAGATGCCTCAGATTTTTCGGGGCTTTGCAGCTTGAGCTTTGGGATTTGGGGCTTAAGGTTTAGCAGCGTCCATCTGCTTTTTCACTCCCTATATATCGCCTTTCATCCTAGGGTTTGAGTTGCAGGCTCAAGGCTTAGAGGACTCCGGGTTCGGAGGTTGGGGCCTCTGGGTTTTGAAGCATGTTTCAGCATGAACTTGAAACTTGCCTCGGGACTCGCGGACTCGCAAGCAGAGGGGGTTTAGGTTTAGGGTTTAGGGGGTTCTGATAAGGAAAATGCATAGATCATGTGCGGGACACTCTTAGGAAAAAGAGCGTTACAAAATGTACAGGGACCCTGCCTCTAGCAACCCTCACATGGTTTCTGGAACAGAATTCCCAAAAATCAGGGGTCCCTCTGCGGGGTTCCCGTAAGAAGGACTGTTATATTCAGAGTCTATATTGCGGTTCTCTGGTTTTTGGGAACTACAGTATCACATGTATGTATAGTTATGTGCGTCGGGACTTCCATCCCACATCCTTCCTGGTCCAGCTGGCCTGAGGGCAGAGTCCTTCACCCTCTGCTGGGCGTCTCATGACTTTTACAATATCTACTTTGATTCCAAGGAATCGAGGGCCAGCTCTTCCTATCTTTTTTGCTCGCTTTCACCCAGGTGCATGCGAGGACTAGCTAACCTTGCCCTCTCGTCTCCAAAGCACGAAGCGCTTTGGCGATTCGCGCGCTTAGCGCAGTGAGTTCAACACCAACTGACTTGAAGTCCGCCAAAGCTTCTCTGGCGGCAGCTAACCTCTCCGGTGGCCTGGACACAAGCTCAGCCTCAACTGCCGCGCCCTGCCTATCTTGCGGAAGAGGCCACAGCACTGTGCCCAAGTATGTCTCGGCGAAGGCCGAATCAGGATCAATACCCAGCCCTCTCATCTCATGGTATGCGGCCAAGACCTCACACAGGCCAGCCTGAGCATAGGCACCGATCAAGCAAGTGTATGTGGCTATGTTCGGAGTCAAGCCCAAGCTCCGACCAAGCTGAAACAGAAACTTTGCAGCAGTCTCACGCCGGCCCTCTGCAGCCCAACAGGCTCGAATAGCCGAGGTTATATGCCCTACGTCTATGCAAGCACCTGTGCGATTCATCAAGTCTAAAACAAGCCCAGCTGTCTCAACATCGCCCTCCGCAGCTGCAGCGGTTATTCTCGCAGCCCCAAGAAGCTCATCAATCTCTCATAGTTCTTGAGATTCTTGCCAAATCTGATCGACCATGCTGGTCTTGCCAAGCTTGGAAAAGACTTTCATTGCTGTGGCAAAGGTTGGGGAGTCTCTTTCAAGTTGCCTTCGCAAATGCTCTTGTATATGTCGGCTCCTTCCTGGTACTGGCCACAATTATAGGCATGATGCATCACGGCATGTAGCACGGGCAGCTCACCGCCCGAATAGCCGAAATACAGCCGACGAACTTCTTGCCAGTCGCCACGCTTGCCGGCCGTTGTCACCGCTGCAAGAGTTTCCTGCCCCTTCGTGCTTAAAACATAGTTGGGCTGAACCTTGGTATGCATCCCTAAACCTGCTCTCTCGCGATTCTCGCTCAGTGGCGTCTGCCCACGTCTGGGCACTGCAAAACAGGAAGCATAGCAAGCAAATATGAGCAACGCGGCTGCTTGCTTTATGCTCAATTTCGGCCTTGTAGTTTTCATGGCAAGCATGGGCGGCGGAGATCCAAAAGGAACGGAATGCTTCGGCTTCTCAGAAGCTACTTGGAGGTCCGTTGTACTTATAACCTACTTAGTAATTGTAGCTATAACCCAATTCTATCTAGGGTACCTGTTGTTACGGGACTTATAATTCGGTAAAAACTACAGTTATCAAGTAGGTCATAAGTACAACGGACCTTCAAGTAGGCCTACATGACAGCCCCCAAAACCTTCAGCACCCCTGCTTCTGAGTGTTCTTACTTTTTGTACACGATTGACCCGCAGCTTCCGGTATGGGGCACAGTATATCAAATACATGTCGTAATTGCTCGAATTTTGTCCCCCAACTGGCCATAAGCCAGGTCCCTATTTGGGTACATTTTCTTGAATGAAGGAAGTGTATTCACAATGGTCCCACTTTACAAGGACCATTAGAACATTTTAAAACAGCCCTCATGGCAACTGAGGCATAGAAAGCTGACGCAGCCCAGCTGTGATGTGATTCTCTTCAGCCAAGAACTCTGCAACACAGCTGCCAAGCGTCATCCTGATGCTAGCTCTGACCTCTATGTCACAGTGCAAGCTTAAAAGTGGTAGGGGTGTGGTCCTTTGGCGATCCCCATTTTGTGCGGTATGTCTTTAGGAGGGGAATTGTTCAGAACCATCAGAACCAATACCATAAAAAGGCCTCAAGCAAAAGCAGGATACCGCAAACAACTCCTGACTGGCCTACTAGTACCATCTTGCTAAACATCCCCTAGCTGGACTTGTTTAGTTTGTCCCAAATAACGGGATGGTTAACGTCAGCTATAGGTAGTTACAATACAAAGTCCCACAACTTCCAAGTAGTGGATTATTTTGGCTCTGGCTCACAATGGGTAGTTATTCTTGAATCAGGGGTTTCCTTACTACCACCCTCTATACTAACCCCCCCTAGGTTCCCCCTTAATTATAACCTGAATTAGGCGGAACCTCGGGGGGTAGTATAGACCGGGGTAGTAGGGAACCCTTGATTCATGGGACGCAACTAACCAGAATCCTAAGCCTCAAGTGGGGTTGTCTCAGAACCCCTGTTTTCCTCGTATCGTTTTTCCGAGTTTTGGGCCGTATCTTCTTCGTTTTCGTTATGTTCCTCTTTCTTTACCCAACTGAAGCCCCACGATTTGCACTTTGCCGGGCCGCGGGACATAATCTTCTGGCGTACGGCTATTATACAAGCCCAAATCATGTTCTGATGCTCACACACCTCTTCTGGGTTGTTCAGGAGCATAAACGGAATTACCTTCATATGTGTAAAAGCTTGGATACATGGAAAGAAAAAACCTGGTGTCCTTGTGGGGGTAACTGAACCTAAGTTGAGGGTTACAATACTATCCCCGCAAGAGTACCCTCCCCAGAATTAAAACCCTACTAGGACTTATGAAGCCCAACATAGTCCTTATTGGTTCGTTAAGCCCGGGAGGGGCTGACCTTTGGGGCGGGATGGTATCATAATCCAAGGGCTGCATGGAAGTTTCTCAAAATACTCCTTATAGTCCTTGATAAGGAACCTCTATATATCCATGGGTCCAAATCAAGCTCCAAACAGCTTTTCCAAGCCCAGCCCCAAACCCTAAATCCTAATTATTCAGGCCTCTACGATAACTTGCTTGCTTCTGGGCCTCTCCCCCCTCCCCCAACAAGGTGAGTTGCTATCGATCAAGGAACTTAATCAGGGGCTTAAGGTTTGGGGCTTACTTGTTTCAATCTCATTTCCATTCTCCCACACCCCTATACAACCGCCTTTGGGGTGAAAGCAGCAGCTGAGACTCGCTGCCTAGGATGTTGTCGGCTTTGAGATCTCGGTGTACAACCTGGGCGACACATAATTTGGCGGCTGATGAAGGGCGGGCTTTAACTATGGCATTCTTGGCGTGTCAGAGTGTCGGGTTGCAGGTCTTGTTCTCGTCCAGGTGGTGGAGTAGTTGGGTTGAGGTCTGGGAACCTAGAAGCATCCTTTGCGACTGGGAAGCTTGCAAACACGTATGCGTTATCGGGAATAGCGTGAAGAGGATTCTACGAACTAGCATGTGTAGCACGTCTGGTGACATTAACGGTAGTGATTTTGACAACCGGCGAAAAGGACTGTAGCCATAATATATTGTTATGGTTATATTTATGAATACCCCTGCCCTTCCAACTAACTAGCAGCGCTTCAGGGACAGGACTCACAGGACAAGGCTCGCGCAACAGGAAGTCAGCTCTCTAGATTTGCGCACTTCTCAAGAATCATACATTCCATATCCCAAAGTCCTTCTTGCCAGGCCCCCTTTGGGGAAGCATGATGGCGACAAACCCGCCATCCGCTTTTCATCTCAAGCTGCTGGACCCAGACCGCTGAAAAGCTCAAGGATACGCTCAATTGTGCTTTGTCTTTGTCTCCTCAGTTGGATTTGGTCGTTTCCCAAAATAGGGCCAACCCCAATGTAAACCCTAAATCATATAATCCTTATTACTGGGACCTCCAAAATGGTACCCCTAATTTTGGGAAACCCCCAATTAGAGAGCCAACCTTCAAATTAGTTGAATACACAACAAAGCAATCCAGAACCCAAAAACCTGCAGCTTGGAGGTTCTGAAAATGAAGCGGTTTAGGGTTTAGGGTTCAGGGTTTCAGGGTTTAGGGTTTAGGGTCGTCAAGCATTACAAGAGAGAATTCCGCTACGTGCACCCCACAGGCTTTACGTTCTAGGTAGGAAGCCAAGTTGTTACAACCAAGTGCTATCGTACGTAATCTTATACTTACTGTTCTCGATAACGAGAGTGCCTTGCCTTTAGGATATATGGGCAGGTGCATAGGTACCATGACTGGTCATTATACAAGGATGAAGCGGGACTGCCAAGAGATTGTTATAGATAAGAGTTTTTTGGGGTAACCCCAGCCCTTATAAGAACGACCATGTAAGAGTCCTATGATGGTCATCAGTCTTATTTTGGATGCTGAGATCACCAACATCGCCTTGTGAGTATGATTCTTGTACCAACTGTCGCGCTTGAAGTACTGTTGAAGCATGAATTACTACCAAATCTGTTTGAGCTTTGCTTGAGGCAGTCTGAAGATATAATCTTGATAATTATCTTGGCCCCTTGTAGCACACTCAGTTGAACCAACTTCGCGAAAAACAACAAAAGCAGCCCATATGCTCGAATAAATGGCAAGAACTCCCTCCAAAACCTCCCAAGTGAATACAGGAATCATAAGCATCATAGTAGAGGGTTTTGTGGTGGTTGGAACAGGTCATATCCCATTCTTCATAATTTACAATACTACAATGAAATGGGAGGACATCATCTTACTTAAGTTACTTAAGCACTCCGTAAACCCTAAACCCTGAACCCTAAACCCCAAGCCCAAAACACTAGACCCTAGACCCCGGCTCGTTCTTCCAGGACCCTGGACAAGAGCCTCCTGGCTGACGAGATTTTTGAGCCCCTCGCACAACTAAAACAGGAAGTCAAGAACTTCCAGAGCGCCCGACGCAAGTAGGGTTTATATAGGGCTTCGATTATGTTATGATAAGATCCCCATATACCTCATATTCTATCTACTTAAGGGGGGACGATATGTCTGTGTTATATGGGGTCGTACAAGGTTATACAGAGGTTGTCTGAACTTTAATTTTTCGAAACATAACAGCTGGAGGTGGCGAACAGCATAAAGAGTCCTGCTATGGAGGGGGGGGCGGGGGCGGCCAGAAACATGCCCGCCCTTGTTGGGCACGTCTGAATTTGGCAAGACCGTCAACAAGCCCAAAAATCGTGGCACACTCACAACATGCTTCTACCTGGCCCCTAACATCATCTAGGCCCTAAACCCTAAACCCTAAGCCCCAACAGGGTTAAGGCTTAACCCTGAAGGGCCCTGACCTCTTTCCTGTGAAGATACAGAAGGCCCAGGATGATCCTGGCATGGGGCAGCAAATACCCTTGAGGGAACGCTGGTGAGATGTGGGAGTTTCTCACAATTACGGGTACCTTTTTGGAGTCCCAATAATATGGATTTAAGTATATTGGGGTCTATATTGGGGTCCCCCTATGTTGGGAAACTACTATGTGAGGAATGAGCGGGGTAGGGTTTAGGGTTTAGGGGTTCGGGCTTTAGGGTTAAGGGTCTAGGTCTTAGGGTTTAGGGCCTAGGGTTGAGGATTAGGGTCTAGGGTCGATGGTCTGGGGCTTAACGTGTAGGGCTTAGGGTTTAGGATCATGGAAACCTTAAACACTAAACTGGGTTGCTGTTAAGGAAACTTAAAATAAGTTCCTATATTGGGGTAACCCTATCATTTACTATATATACCCATTATGGTAACTTAATTTAAGTTCCTGAACAGCAACCCAGTAAACTAAACCATAAACAGCGGACTTCAGCGGTCATCTGCAAAGAGCCACTTGTGGTGGGACTCAAATTCC